TATATATATATATATATATATATATATATATATATATATATATATATGAACCATTGCGTCAAATACGAACAAAAATTGACATATATATGAACTTGGATTGTATAGCATTTATGAACACAACATGAATATAATAAGTATAGTTGTTACACGAAAGTAAATAAATAAAAAAACAGCTTTGAACACAATATGAACAGTTTGTGAACAATAGTTCTTTCATTATGAACACATTTAGGAGCAAGCCAATGTTGAGATATGCAGCTAGTGTACATGTGAACACAATATGAACACTTGTGAACAATTCTTTAATAATTACATATGAACTCGAATTCCGATTGTAGTCGTAGACGATTTTAACCTTTTCATTCTCATTGTTGTTGATCTGTTTTCCAATAGGTTTATCCATATTACTCGGACGATATAAAAATCTTTACAATCGGAAATTCTTTAACAATTACAAAATCAATATCATTATGAATAGAATAAATCGAAATTACAAAACATGAACACGTATAAAAAAAATCAATATTACATAATCATCAATTATTGAGATTTTTAGATTTGTAACTCCCAATTAATGATTTGGGAGTTACATAAATGACAAATTACTTAATTACCTTTGTCATTAATATATGAGTTATATGTGAACCTAAAGAAAAGATGGAATATGATTGGTTGAGTTTGGTTAACAAAGTTAACACAAAAATCTTGATAGTATTTGAACCAACCCATATATATATACACACACACACACACACACACACAGGGGCCCATTCAAGGAAGAACTGACTAGTTTGTGGTAACCGTGAGATCCAATCTCAACCACAAATCAATTATAAATTAGGAAATTTATAATTTTGAATTAAAATTTTAATGCAAGGACATTTTAGGTATTTTTTTTTCTCTCTCCTCTTTTCTCTCTCCGTCTTCCGGTGATACCACTATGATAACTAAAAATATTGACTCTATTAAACCAAAGACATAGGGTGATACCCAAGCATATATAAGATGCATTGTGATACCACTGTGTTACATCTCCGATCGACCACACAAACGACCTCAGTGTAATACCCAAGCACATATATGATGCATTGTGATACCATTGTGGTATCACCGGAGGATGGTGGCCGGAGGACGGTGGTCAAAGGACGGTGACCGGAGGACGAGGGACGGAGAGAGAAGAGTTTTAAAATACCTAAAATGTCCTTGTATTAAATATTTACTTCAAATTTACCAAAATTATTATTTATTGATTTGTGGTTGAGATTGGATCTCACGGTGACCACAAACTAATTAGTTCTCATTTGATTAGACCCCTATATGCATATATATATATATATATATATATATAGTTAAAGAATATGGAATATGGATATAACCTTATGTACTTAATAAATCCGTGAAGTACCAAACTTTGTTCGTTTGTAGCTAAAAAAATGTCGTATGCTTTGTATAACGTTGCATCTTCTAGATGATAGTAGACTTGGAGTTAATAATTCGAAAAGTTCGTAACCATCATCATCTTAAAAAATGTAGCAGACCTTAAAGGCTCCAACATACGATCCCCTCGGTTCAGCCTTCTTACTTATGAAGTTATTTTTGATCCCTTGGTCCATCAAACTAAGGAGGAGCTTGGTTCGCATGGTTTGGACGGAATCTGAAGAAATTAGAATACCAATTCCATTGACCAAATTACTTTAAGGCGTTTGGTTTACCTTATGTACCGGAACTCTTCCACACATTCCGTCATTCATGGATTTGGTCATTCCATCACAATTGAGAAGGAATTCAATTCCATCACATTCCATTTTCTCAAAAAGACAAAATTATATCCATCTTCGCTACTTGATCGATTTACCCAGAACTATATGACCTCCATCTAAACCACCGCCTACCACCACTGTTCTGAACTATCGTCGACCACCACTGTTATTGAAGGGTATTTTGGTCATTTATCATTTATTCATTCTAATTCTGAAGCTGCATTCTACCAATAACCAAACAGATTGATTTCAAACCATTTAACAGATT